TGCATACAGAGTTTATATATCTCACTTGTTTCGATACGCAAAAGCATGCTTTAAGTATGAACAAGTTCTAAGGTCGATACAATGTCTTTGTCACTAAGTACAATTATCATTGAGTTTAATGCTGACTGATATTTTTCATACTAATTGTTAGTCCATTATTTAAACACTTAATTGACGACGAATTTTTCAATTCTTTACCCGATCATGACAAGGAGCACACGGCGGGTGTAACCATTGGCAGGTGATGCTCACTCCTCCATGGCACTTGATCCCATCTCTATTGTTTTGGAGGTCCGTGTTTGTTCTGCTCCTATTGTTTAGCATTGTTTATGGATTCTTACAACTCTGGAACAAAACTCCTACTGAAAAGAAACATTTAGGTCTAAACCATGAAGTCACTATGTGAAACACGATCAAATACGTTATCAAGTGTGCTGCATTCAACCTAGAATGAAATTTAAAGGTGCATGGACACAGATTTGAAGTTAATGTTTTAAATACACATGTATAATATTACGACTTATATATTTTAATAGCATTTCACACAAAAATAAATTTTAAAATCTCACTTCATATAAAAGTTATTAAAACCGTAATTTTTTGGCGGGTTTGATTGACACATCCTAGCACTTTCACAAATTTTAATTATTTTATTCTTAATACTTAGGAAAAGTGGCAATAAAGAATAAAGTTTAAATTTGTGAAAGTGCAAGGATGTGTCAATTAAACCCGCCAAAATGTGATTTTAATAACTTTTAAATAAAATCAGAGTTTTAGTTTATTTTTGTGTAAAATGCAATTTAAATATACAAGTCGTAATATTTTATAAAAAATATTAACTTCAAATCTGCGTCCATGCACCTTTAATGGTTAATGTATATTTTAACTACATGTACTAGTATTCAAATACAATAGGAATCTGTTATTGCTCGTATTAAAATGTATAATTCTACAGTTACAAATCTTTAACTTTCTGATTTCTAGTTTTGAGATTTCACCTAAAGACTTTTTAAAGCTGTTTTCGAACTGCCCTCCATTTTGGTTGTCTGGAAATCTTGATATCTTGATAGGCGCTTCGTGATTTATCCATCATGTACAGCCGTATTTAACTCTGCATTTACTGTTACATTTTTTATTATTACCTTTGCTGCTGCGTCTTCTTCAGCCTCTCGATGACCCCTTCTTCTATTTGAAAATAAGGAAGCTTTTTTCTGTTTTCTTTCACACTATTTTTGTTCATGGTCCACTGTCTAAGATATCATCACAAACCACGGCCAAAATGTACCATTTCCGATGCTGCAGTAGAGAGCTACAATGCATATGCAGACTCCGAACCGTGACATGAGACGGTGCTGGTATGAATTTTAATTGGATTATTCATGAATATGCGTGTGCCTTATTATCTAGGTCTCTCAGAGTCAGTGTTCCATTCTCTAGAAATTCTCTCAGATTCTCAGAGTTCTACAATAAAATTACATTAAACCTAATACGTTTGATTTGCTTTTAAATGTAATCCCTTTTAAAACAATGATATACTAGTACTTAAATTAGAATTTATATTATCCATCAAAATTAATGGGGGTCCTTTTAACACCGTAGGGGTTTGTGGTAAAATTGTCCTTGAAAAGCCCGAAAGGGTTTCTCGAGATATCCAAAAGAAACGAAAGTTTTTAAAAGAAAGAATTTATTTAATTTATGCCTTAACTTTTGACCTTTTAACCTCAAAATCAATAGGAATCTTCCATATGGGGTTGTTTTAAATAAGTGGAGATAACGAGCAGTATTCGATCGCAAACGTCCATCGAACATCACAAAATAGGATTCTAGCAAACACAGACCTCTAAAACATCAGAGGTGGGATCAGGTACCTAGAGGAGTGAGCATCCCCTGCTGACTGGTCACACCCACAGTGTGCTCCTTGTCATGATCGGGAAATAATGGAAAATATCTGTGGACAACTCAGTGTGTAAGTGATGGTCTGATAATCAGTATGAAAAAAGTCATTTATCACCATTTGCTTTAATGATGAATTGTGTTTACTGAGAAGATTATTGTTACGACCAGAAAACTACGAAATGATGACTTCAAACGAGACTGCTTTTATCTTTGTTTCTCTAACTTGTCAATACCTTCCGTTTTAGAAAAAGTTCATACATAGAACATGCTCTTCTGCATCAAATCAACTCCGTATGCAGATGACAAATGTATATTGCTGCGTAAGTAAAATTCCAACGCAAAAGCTCAAAGGCCTCTAGAGATATTGTGTGGAAACGATAGTATTGCAGACAGAATACTACAGACAGACAGACAAACCAAAATTAATAGCTCCCACTGTTAGCAAGGGACATGCACGCAGAGAATATAACAAATATCAGGTTCTTTATGTGCAGTTACTTAAGAAATAAGGTATCATTTTTAAACATCTATCGGGATATAAATACGGGTTGGTCACGAGATTAAATTCCATAAAGCCCGAAGGGCTTTATGATGAATTTAATCTCGTACCAACCCGTATTTATAGCCCGATAGATGCACATATAGTATATAGTACATGTAATGATTAGAAGGGATGCTTGATTCAGAAGTTTTGGAGTTAGGGCGGGGTTCTAATAATTATATATTGAAATTGCATGAATTTGTTTTAAAATCTGCTCTTTGGTATTAAACAAATGAACTTTGTACATCATTATATACATGTTGAGGAATAGTGCCTCTTTCAAAATTGTGAATTTCATGGCCCCAGGTTCCGGGGTTCTGGTATATGGGCTAATTTTTAAGCTCTAATGATTATATATACAGTAGTGAAAATTCATTAAATTATTTTAAAAACTTCTCTAGATTGTTCCTAAGTATTATGCTGATGATCTAAGTATATAGTTATGATAAAGAAGGATCCTCTTTAAGAATTGTAAATCGCAAGTTCTCTGAGTCAGGTTTACAGGTTTAATGATTATGTACTGAAAAATGAATTAAGGTAAGTCACTCGTCAAATTTGTTAAATCAAGGATTTTTTGGGAAGTATATTTTGGATAAGTACTCATATAGTATGACTCATAATCGCAGAGAAAATAGGAGTCACTGTGCATCTTACTGATCTATGGTACAATTAAGTTGACCTTTTTGCACTTAAATTTTAACTCTTTGATTTATTACTTTATCTCTAATTTTAATTTATCAGATGTTACTACGTTAATAAATTTAATCTTATTTTACATAAAATAGTTTGAATAATATTTATCATTGAACAAATCTTGCAAATAATGCGCGTTTATTATTGTGTTACCTTTTTGCACTAAAAAAAACATATTTGGGGTATTAAAATACTAAATAGGCAATAAAATATTTTCTTATATCAAGCTTTTTAGGAGTTAAGTGCTGATCAGTCACAAGTATCGAGTAGTTTAAAATAATAAAGAAAAAGTTGGGGTCAGTGATGTTAATTTTGAAATATTGGTCAAAATTATTTGATTTTCAGGCAAAAAATGGTGTAAATTTTATCTTGACTTCTTTAATATATCTTCATTTCTTGGCAAAGTTTGTTGAGGGAAGGTGTAAAACTTGTTCTTGAATATAAATAAAGACCTATATTAAATATTCCTGCAATATCATAACGGAAAATATTCTCCGAGTAAAAGTATGTGAGGCTAAAGTTTCAAGACATCAAATTTAATAAATGTGCAGATTTGCAGAAATTTCTGCTGAATATCCTTCCACCACAAGAAATAGTCCCTCATAAATCTTGCTTCTTTGTATATTTTTGAGCAGTTTTTTCGATGAATGTTAAAATATTTACATTGTTGAATATAAATATTTTATAAAAATTGAATTTTAATAAATATTTTTTAATTAAGAGGTTCTAAAAAGCTGACGAGTGACATACCTTAATGCTTTAAATCTGTTCCTTGCAATAGGTATTCATCAAATATTTATGATGAGCAACAACTTGGTATCTTGTTTTTAAAATTGTGAAATGTGTGGCCCCAGTGTCAACGGTTCCCGTGGGTTGAGGGCACCGCTGATTATAACTATTTAATGTAAATACATTTTTCGTTGTTCTCCTACTCCGTTTCTGGGTATTAAGTAATCAAACTTAAGCATATGCTACGTGTATAGTTAAAATGAGCAAAGGTGCCTCTTATGTAATTGTAATTTTTATGGCCTCTGGAAGAACACAGACCAAATGTATATTGTTAGAAAATTGGTACATGATACTCAGATGACCTATAAGGCCCACGGCCCTCTTGTTTACTTTAGAATTAAAATTAAGCAAGAAAAATTCGTATAAATATATATTACTTCACAAAAAAATAGTGGAAATAAAGCTTAGTTGTTGCCTTTTTAGAAGAATTTTTTTCTTGTCTAAGATCAAAAGAAAATTTGCTTTGTGTATATCAAATTGTGAAAACTTTCTAATGAGAAAAAAGAGCATATTTGATCTTAATATAGTACATTTACGTTCTTTTGAAATTTTGCTTGACAGCTGGTGTATTCTTAACGCATTTGTGAATAACGCGCATTAAGACTATAATTAAAAGTTTATTACTTTTGCATGATAACCCGCATGCACATATTAAGCTTGAATGATATTAATCTAAAGCTTTGAGATAGGACAAAGCAAATAAAATTCCATCGCTATCGTAAATATCGATAACAAGAATCTAAAAATTCAGCTGTTATCTTCCGAAAGAATCTAGTCAGTTATATATTCTACACTTATTAATATTGCTAAGAGCGATAAAATCCTGCACATATATATTTTTGACCCTATAACCACTTTTTCTTAGCCTGTCAAGGATTTTTCGGGTAAGTTGTAAATTATCGTCCTGCCGCAGTCCTCCATATACTTCCAGGAACTTTTTTATCCTCTTTTTTAAGATAGAAAGTTATGAAAATTGTTTCAGAAAATTAACATAAATTGATGGAAAATGTGTGTTTTCAGATCTCATGTGGTACCACATCTAAAAGAACCCTTCTCAACCATGAGTATTCAGGTTTGCGCAATGGACAAACTAAAGGAGCAATTTATTTTATTTTCTCATACCCATAGCAGCGATGAGCTTTACACAATTATTGCTGGGAGTCTTACATCAACACATATGACAGCAAGCAAATGCCGTGAAATTGTCGCAGAATTTGAGGAGAAGCATTTGTTTTATTTCAGTTTATTCAAGCCCAAAGTTGATAATGGTTCAAAAACCTGGATGACAAGAGTAAAAGAAGATATAAGAAACGTTAAGCGAAGTGGGTTTGGCCCAACATTGCGAGAACTTTATGCAGTTTGCGAAATAATCAACACAAACATATTTCTGCTGTTCGAAGGAAAAGATAACACAATGAAAGCGTGGCAAATTCAGCCTGTAATTCGAGAAAACGAAACTAAAACACAACCGCTAATATTGCTTTTGATAACACATACAGAGGAACCTTGCTTCCAACACATAAAAGGAAATGCACATTTAGATGGATTAGATATTGAAACAATCAACGCAAATCATACCGAATGTCTTGATAAAAGATTTCGAAATGATTTCAAAGATCTTCAGATAAACTTCATGCTTCGTAGAGAAGACAATTATGCCTCTACAACAGAACCGACAGGAGAGCAAGGCAAACCAAAAACAAACGTATTTTCTCTATGTAGCCAAATCGTTTATGGAAACAAGGATTATGCCCAAGCTGTCAAGGAGTGTATAAAAATGCATATGGAGGAGGAAGATTTTCGGGAAGTTTACATGCATTTTGTTGACGTCAAATCTTATGTCACAGAAAAAGAGTACAATGCTATGGAAAATATTTCTGATTCGGGCAAAAAAGAAAAAATGCGCGCAGAATTAATCAAAAAGGCTTTTGAAGAGCATGTAAATAAGTGGCAGTCTTTTACCCTTGAAGAATTTTTCGCAATTGCAAGTGTCTACAACATAGAGGTCTTTGTAATGCCTGTTCAAACGGAAAGAACTCCAAAACATAATACCAAGGGGACTAAGTTTTTCCTACCTATTTGCGGAAGTTATTTGTTTACATTTAAGACGCCATTTGTTTTCCAAAAATGTTATGACGAATCATATAAAGCAATTTTGGTTGAACAGGAATGTCTTTGTCTCACAAGTAAACCAGAAGTGTTTGGCAACTTCCCAATTATTAATGATGAGATTGATCTAAGGAGAGTAAAGAAACTTGGTAAGTACACTCTACTTACATGTATAAATTTATGTTTGTATAATTGATTGTACTGTCACAGTTCCAACTCAGACAAAAACCTCGATTTACATGGTCTCATTTAAAATATCCAAAGTTTTACTTCAATACGCAAGTTTCGAGATTATCTCCCTTGGTGCGCTCTTTCGTTGGGGAGGGGAGTTTCGTTGCCGCGTAAACAAACAGGTGGGACAAATATTTGATATGTTTATATTGGATACATTGTATCATCGATATACTGGTTTATCATAACTACATGATTGTCGGGATGCACTCTACATTTCGAGAATAACCGAATAAATTTAAAGACGTCATTTTTAAAGCAAACAAAATCGTAACAATTAAGAAAATGTCGGTTGATGTGAGACTTTTCAGACGAGGGAAGATATTTGGACCTCTAATAAAAACGGTACACATGCATCTGAACATTGTACATAGGCGATCTAAATGACACATTGATTCTCTTCCTTATTACAACTTCAAAAAACACACAAACTTTTTGTTTGTACAATGAAGAAAATCAGTTACTTTTTATTAAGACTATGACGTTTATTTCGTTTCCAAGTACCTTTAATTTAAAGCAGATTTGTAAATATGCATAGCTGAACTTGATAAAATCATCAAATGCATCACTGCTTAATATCATTATCTTTTTATAACATCTTATAAGTTTTTAAAGCCATAAATATCGTTCATTTATTTATGCATGTTTGTATACAGAAACAACCTGTCCCACCTCCATGCCGAAATGGCTACTTTTTGCGCCTCTATCACAGGAGAGTTACAATCTCGAAACTGGCGTATTGGCAAAAGACAAATAAAGACCTAACTTTACATTTTAAATTTATGCGGTGTGAAAAAGGAGAACCAAACCCAATTTCATATTTTTTATTGTTCAATTCGGCTAATTTGTATTTTATGGGATCTGCTTTATCGTGCTCTCTCTCTCTCTCTCTCTCTCTCTCTCTCTCTCTCTCGTAAAGTACAAATTAAAGGTTATGCAAGTAACAAGTAACATCAATCATGAAATTTATAAGTTAAAACTCTTCTTTGTCCTTTAAATGTATAAGTACTAGTTGGATTTTTTGTATTGTACATTTTACTGAGCGCAATATCTGTTTTATAGATATCAAATCGTGTTGTCCAAACCTTGGTAGACATGGCCGCCACAGACATTTTCAACATCTTTGGAATAATGATGAACCAGAAGAAAGATCGATGATGCAAGAAAGCAGAATTATTAAATATTGTAATCCGATGAATAGGCATATAGAAATAATTCATGAAATAATGGCTGAAGAAGGAAAAACTTTAGATGCTATAAACGGAGGGAAAGGCAGTCTTCAAATGTGCATAAGTAAGGAAATATTTGACGACGAAGATGCAAGGATACCTGTCAGGTATTAGTTTTATGTCCTTTTTTCTTTAAAAAAAATATTTAATAAGCAAACTGGTTAAATTGGGCAACAAATATGCAATGCCTATAAACATGTCAAGATCATTGCTTTGCATTATCTTCTTAATCTACAGTCTTCCAGTTAATGATGTACAGAAATCATTTGAGACCGTTGCCGACTGGACAGGAATTCCTGTGTATGTGTTTTCATATTCTGAAAAAGTTTTTCAATGGGTATCGATTTCTCCGAAGAAATGCAACCCAAAAAGAAGTTCCAATTGCCGATATTACATGACCATACTACATAATCGACAGAGTGGGTATTTCGATAGAATTGTTCCAAAAAATGGGTGTAATTGTCTTCAGGTTCACCCATATGTTGCATCGTTGCAGAGCGGTGAGCAATTATCATATATAATCGTGAAATACTGGAGTAGTTTAGAAAATAATCAAGGATTTTTTTCTGTTGACCTAGTTAAAACTTAAAAACATTTATTTACCAACCATATTTCATTGAATGTAATTTATTTATATATATATTTTTTATAAATAGAATTAATCAAAGTGGATAAATGCACGCGTACGGTGCCGTCAAAAAGTACGTGGCATTGGTCACTTCTGACATTTCTGCCTGAGAAACCCAAAGATGAAACGTTTACTGATGATACACTTCAAGAAATGAGAGTTATACCAATGTACTCCGAGGTTCATCTTATTATGGAAAGAAAGGATATGCAAGATCGTCTGCTAGATAAAATGTCTGATTATGCTTTTTCTCTTTATCGGTGCATCAGCAAAGAAATATTTGGAAACGAAAAGCAATTTAAAATGATAATGATGGAAATAGTGCGGGAGATAAAGGAAAATCCACATATTTATGGACATTTGCTAATGAATAAAAAAGAAAATTCTGATTCCAATTTTTTAGAAAATTTTAGATATCGGAAGCATCGAATATTTGATTTTCTTCGATCTCAAAACAAACTGGTCGAAGAGAGTGCACGATTTTTTGTTGAGCGCATCGAGGACGGAATGAATTTGGGTGATTTAGAATTGTTTGTAGTTGCAACTCTTTTCCAAGTTCCAATTTATGTGCTCGTTGCTGAAATAAATGAAAACAAATTGGAAACAAAATGGCTATCATTTACACAGATATCAAGAAAAAGGCAACCCAGTGATTTTGCTGCCAGAATGCAATATTTTGAAGGTAAAGAAAACCACAAATGTGATTTTGACTCGTCGAGTGGATCTAAATACTATGTGACGCTTTACCGGACATTTTCAGGAGATTATCATAGAATTGTACCAAAGCATCAAGTGTGCAACTGTCTGAAAGAACCACCCCAAAATATCGTGGAAGAACATAAGCATCATGAACAACCAGGTGACTATCTAAACTGAAGCACTCTAACTTATTTAGTAATTATCATTAACGCTTAAAGATTAAACTAGTAATCATATGTTATAAAAATGCATCTTGACGTCTCCTATTTATCTAATTTCATCTTTTTCTTTTTTCTTCAAATTTTTATATATATCTTCCTCTTTTTCCTTCAAATTTTCTTAATTCGCATGATATAATTTTTTTTTCATTTAAATATCAGTATCAATGGCTTTTTTCTTTTCAGATTTCAGAATGTACTTTGAAATGCACAATATAAAAAACAAATTGACGATAGCAAAACTGCAACTGGACAACTGGTTGAGATGCAACATGGCACTTGAAATATTTTGCACCGAAATCATTGGAGGGGCGTAGACAAAACGTGAACATTTCCAACATCGTGGGATCCTCCGTAGGACTCGTTGGATCAGCTTGCAATTGGGGGATTAATAGCAGCACCATTCACAGCAGGAGTTTCTCTTGGTTTAGCAGTTGCAGGTGGCGTTATTGGAACACTTGGTAGTGCAACTGTCATGGGAACCAAAGTCACTGAGTTCGTTTTAAGTAGGGATGCAATACCAATGCTAGAGAGATATCAGATGAATTTGCGAGAAAGATCACGATGTATGGAAAAATCTTTATCAGATCTCCAAAAAGAGATGGAAAGGTTTATAACGGAAGACACAGACAACATCAACGCAACTGCTGTTCAAACAGCTACTGGGACATTGCGCATGCTTGGTGGTTCACCAATTATCATTGCACGCGGGATTGTACGAGCAGTCACCCTTGCCAATACGGTTTTGCCACCTTTGTTCAATAATCCTTGATTTGGGCGTACTTGCGTACAGCATCTATTATCTGACAAAAGGATCAAAAACAAATGTCACTGAACGTTTACGCAAAGTCTGATCCGTTCTTAGAACGACGAGAATTCAGATGTTTACTTGGGGATATGGAAATCAGAAAAAACTACATACAGACTATGGAAAATCTTCGAGAAAACATAATGTTTGTAAATACATTCCCTGTGGGGAACATTTGTCAATAAAATTTAATTATTTTAAAGTTTTATAATGATTCGGATGATTTTTTTACTTTCTTTGTCAAACTCTTTCAGGCTATCTGTATTTTTTTCCAAGGTCGATAACCCTTTTAATGTTTAATAAGGATGCTACATCCCCGTATCCTATTCATTTGCTTAACTTTATGTAAATGTACCTGTATTTTCAACCTCTTCAACTTCAATCCCCGCCCTCACAATTTCGAAAATTTTATAAATCCTAAACCTCACCACACATAATTTTGATTATCATGTCAACGCATTTATACAGAACTACAATGAAAGGTTGGCAGGGGATGCTCACTTCAATATGACATCTCATCCCACCTGATGTTTTGAAATTCCGTATTTGCATTGCTCCTATTTTGTCTTGTTTTATGGACTTGGATACTGAATACTGTTTGCTATCTCCATATTTTTCATGTAGATAACAAACATACAAAAATCCTTATTTAAAACTTGTTACCCGTCATTTTAACAAGAACAAAGGAAGTGTTTTAACCCCTACCCTCCTCAACTAATTTGAAGTTTGAGTCTATTATTACGCTTATATGTGTAAGACAGCTTTTTTGACAAGCCATCCTATATCATACCAAGACATTATTTTACGAGAGCTGTTCGATAAATAATGTCCTCGGTGCTGGGAAAGAAGCAAAAGACGCTTTTCAATGATTTAGCCTTAATGATTGAACTTAACAATCTCTTTTAATTAAAACACATGTCTTTAAATTTCTTTTATCACATTTCTGATTGTTTTTAAAACTCAATATTTGGTATGACCCTAAGTTTACTGGAAAATGGAAGATCTTATGATTCGTTTCTTCCTTTTGAAAGTTTGGAAAATGAAACAAGTCAAAAGGCAAAAGATCTGGCAAATATTGTTAATGTGAAAAAAATAACTTTCTGTTTATCCCGAAAACTCCTTTACTCTTCGGGGCGTGCGGGTTTAGATGCTGTCATGAAGAAATTTAATGTAGTGGATTCCTGATTCTGATTCCTTCCTCTCATTAACCTTTCAATTTTTTTCTCAGAAAAATTGTTTTATAGACACTTCCAGAATTTAAACTGTCTCCCCGAATACGAATTTAAACAAAGAGAGCACTAATATTGAAGACAATTGCATATAAATCTGTCTTTGTGCTCTTACAATTCATTGCACTTCTCAAACCTTTGTTGTTGTTTTTTTGTCAAGTATATCTTATTGTAAATTTTGTTTCGATGGTTTTAAGCAATAGATTCAAGTTTCTTTTCTGTTTGAAATTCACACAAGCTTGGATGACTGCAATGTTTTGATATTTTAGAATAATTGTTTAGATATTCTTACACGCTGTCGTTTATACTCATATCAAAACATAGTGTGACTATTGAGTACTGAGCTTTTTTACTGTCGAACGTTTCTTTTAAACAGTGTGAACTACTCCCAAAAAGATGTCTATCAAATTTGCTATGTGTCTTTCAAGTCAATCATACACCATCAGTGATTCCTTGTTGAAATTTGGCAAACAGCACATTACAGTGTAGTTATTCTAATTTTTGTCTCCAAGGAGGGTACCCATTTTTGATTCCCATTATATAATTCTTTATCTTTGAAATCCACCTGCTCATTTGTCTATATAACAGGCATTGGTTGCCGTAAATATTAATATTTCAGTGAATATTTCTTTGGGATTTTTAACGTGTTTTACAGCAGCTTGAATGAAGCGTTTAATTTCATTCTAGTTTTTTTGGTTCTTTACCATTCATTTTAATTGCAGTGTCTCGAATAGCCCTTGTTTTCCAGCTTCTCACAATGAAACTATGTGATGAAAAGTTGTCACACAAATTGTAATAAATTCAATAAAGATTCAATAATGCGAAAAAGTCAAGCTTAATGTCATATGATATTTAATTTGTATTGTATGTCATACAGTTCAGGACATTATTTATTGAATAGCACTCGTATGCCCTAAATAAATAAGCATTTTAAAAATATTTTTAACAATTCTTTTCCAAAAGTAGTTTTCTAAAGTATGGGACAGTTACTTTCCTGCTTGTAAAAAGAGAAGTACTTGTTTAACATTCATGTGCTTTTCCTTTTCAGGATGAAATTAATGGAGAGAAATACTTTTGTTTTCATATATTTGAAATTGTACAAACACTTCCTTTCTTATTTCCGAATTTTGGGGAATGGGTGGAGTTAAAGAGTATTGTCGTTTCCAAAGCATTATATAAAATGACAAAATATTTTTAAATAAATATTAACAGTTGGGAACTGCCATGTTTCTTCTGTACATGTATTGTATGATCTTTCTATCCCTTTAGCATCCTATCTTGTGTTTTGGGAAGGCATTTATTGTTACATAGTGTATGGTGGCGTTAATGATAGCACTCGGCACCACAAGTATTATTACCTCAGTAACATGTTTACATAGACCCCCTGATTTTTTCATCATTATGAAAGAAATGACATTTCATATTCCTTTTTCATGTAATTTGTTCTATTTTCGCCTGTTTTATCCAAATCGGAAATTAGTCTCCCTGGAAAAGTTATAAACAAAGAAACACTTGGTCTATCCCAATGATATATTCATTTTCCTTTCTTTGTCACACTTGCAGGATTTTTTTCAAAGGTTGATCACCCTTCAACTTTTAAAAAGGATGTTACGTTCCTGTATCCTTTTGATTTTCTTAACTCTTTTTAAACCTAAGTTCCTTTTTCAGCCTCCTGCACTTCAATCCCCCAATCGTTTGAAAAAAATCTAGATCCGCGACTGTATTGAAAGTAAAACTCTTCACACTAAACAATAAAGAAAGTGAGGGAGATGTGTGCTTTTGTTATCATATAGTGTTGGAAATTTTCAGAGGGCGGGGTTGTATCAAAATATATTGAAGATCAAATCTTTGCAATATTTAAAGCCCAAGTGCAAACGAGCTTCTCTTCTTTCCGATTTTTTGGGGAGGGTGGGGTAAGAGAATATTGATATTTCGAGCGCATTACATGAAATAAAGAAATACATTTAAACAAGTGTTCACGCTGGGGCG